ATGTACTGCCCTACTTATTTAGACAGCTGTTCCAGAGTATGTCTGTTTAGTTATGGTTTGCTTACATACAAGCTATGGATTTGAGTCCAAAATCTGATCAATTAGCACCTTGTTCCCTAAATCTGTATTATAAAAAGGAGAACAGAATAATGTTTGAGAAGCTGGCAGGAAAGTAAAACAGCCTGTGTGCAGTTGAATACGGGGTGACAGCTGGAGAGCAGTCCTAAAGCAGGCAGGCACCCGTGGCCCGCAGGTACACAGCGACAAATCAGTTGGCAAGGTGCTAAAAGCAACACCCAGGCTAAAGGTATTTAAAACCTGTGCACACGCCTTGCCTGAAAGGGAACCTCCGGCCTTGGAGACTCATCTGTATTTCAGCAGATCCAGGCCAATTCTTCGCTCTCTTACTTATTTCATCCACGATCTGGGGCAGCTCGTAAGCTCTGCCCCCGGAGCTCATCTGCCCAGCAAAGCTGATGGAGTTCCTTGCTCTCCTGCCCCTGTCTCTCCTGCCTAGTTCATTTGCAAGATCTATAGGCAGAGGTGTTTCTGTGTACGTACTGCCATACAGGCTCGTTACTGTTTTGGGCTTGGCATCATCTGAATGTGACTTAAATGTTTCTAGATCTAAGCTGACCAAAGAGAAAACCCCAAGCTTCACACTTTCAGGGCCTAAAGCAGGATGCCCCCCTGGACCTGGAATTGCCGCTGACAGCAAGAGGCACTGCCCAGGACAACATGCTGCCTGGACCCACTTCTCACAGTTAAAAAAGTTGACAGTACAAGCAAAGGAGAGTAATTCTGCATCCAGGGAGAGCAAAATAAGCGTGGCTTTCAAATGGAAGTGGCGAGACTTTAAACATCACATGAAAGCAGCTCAAAATCCATGCTTGTTCCAGCAGGAGGTTAGTGCAGAAAATACATGGGACTCACAACGGTCTCTGAAGAGCAGAAACTTTACATGGCAGCAAGCTCTTCAGCCTGAGCCCAGCACAGAATTACAGCTCCTGGTTGTAAACATTTGCACTGGAGAGAGAGAAAAAAAATAATAATAAAAAAAGGACGTTATGGGCTAATTTTTCAGAACTCACTCACCGTGTACGATCGCTCTTTAGTCAGTTCGATGCTGCTATGCACTGAAGCTTATTTCCACTGCTCACCATGGATTTTTATATTCAAAATACAGGCTATATTCCGATATTCCACAGACTATTCCTGTATTCTTACTTCATGTACTATGGAAATCTAGGGGTGATGTAATTCCACGAGGAAAATTGCATACAGCCGTCTTGAAACTGGCTGCTGATATTGTTCAATATATTCAAAGTAGAATATATGCAAGAACCTGCTTTCACTTGTATCTCCTGAGCTCGTGACATGCAAAACAAAACAAAATCATATAGTATCAGGGTTTACTTGTACGCTTGATTAATCTTTCAGTTTTCCACTCAGTTTGCATCTTGTGGTGATTTATTACCCTTACTTATCCAAAATTCATTTTTAATGTAAAATTTAAGTTTTGGATCTGGACGTATTAGAACATCTCAATAAAAAAAAAAAAAAAAAAATTTCCTTCCAAGACACTCGTAGTGAGCTTTGTTGATGCTGCCTTTGCGAGTGACAGTAGTTGCACAAATCAATGAACACACTTTGGAGCTTTCCCAGTGTAGTGAAGTTTCAGTGACAAAGACGTTTAAGAACAGCTTTGCAAGAACCAAGGGAGGACTTTTAAACAACCACCATTTGGCTCAGGTACTTCAACAGAATGTATCTAGAGCATTTAAAAATCTGTGAGTGCCTGTAAATATCTAGCCGGCAGCTCTCGCAGAGGAACCATCTCGCTGCGCTCAGCAGAATTACTCCTGCGCGTGTTAGTAAGTTCTGGGTCTTGACTTCTAAGCCACAGCCTAAGAGGAGGAAGAAAGAGCCAGCTGCTGCTTGTGCAGATCCAGCTTGTTCTGAGTTTTTCAAGCAGTAGGTAGCAGAAAACAAGCTAGCATACTTAATTCACTATTCCTCCTAAAAAAATAGTGAAAAGTATTTAGAAATCATTCTTTAATTTCAGCGGTTGCTATGGCTGTGTGCAAGTTGAAATGCTGGCGCGCTGAGAAGCGCACAAACGCAAGTACTTTGCTAACCTGCCACGCGAGCTGACATCCGTTCAGCAGCGTGGCCGCAGCGTAAACCAGTATCCAGAACTACCCCGTGGTCCTTCACGTGAAGTGTTCGCTTCAGACCGGAGAGTCCATGCTGTCAGCAGCCCTAACAGAACCTCTTCACGCGTTCTGAACGTGAACAGCACAAACCCGGCGACCGAGAGCAGCACCCAGCGCTCGCAGGGGAGTGCCACATCCCACGGCAGGGTGTTTGCCCACCAGCTCTGCGGCAGGTGAACTTGTTACCTGAAATCAAAAATAACTCCCAAAACACACAAAGCAGGTTTAGAGAGGAGACATTGTTTTTATTCTGCGCAGGGTGTGAGGAGGGAGATCTCCACAAATCAAGCACTCACACTTACAATCACATCGCATATTTATACAATAGAAAGTGTTAAAAAAATGTTAGTACCACCTATTAGCCATACCCTCCTAACTATGATGGGTTAGTTCCCCTCTCGCCTCGGTTTAAAGATACAGCACTCCGAAAATTCCCTAGGCATGCTCTAGTCTCTGCCTACGCCGGGGTCTCCAGCCCACGGGGGGTGTATTTTACTATTATAATGAGCAGAGTTCAGCTAAGGACACGTGAATTCTCAGTTCTGCTGCCAAGTTTGCAGCATACACAAAACATCCTGATTACCTGTCCTTCTCAAGGTCCAGTTGCTCCAGCACATCCTTGGTTAAAGCTACCAAGTGTTTGTTCTCCTGATTAGAGATGATTTAATGTCCTCCACTTGTCAGCAATCTCCTCGCTTGAACAACTCTGTAGCCATACGGTGTTCCTTACCCAGAACACTGGCTGCTACTTAGATACTCTTCCATGAGTTAGTAACTCCTTAAATGATCTTACTGTTAGTTTGCTTATTAAAATATATCCAAATCTTAGTCCCCAAGGTAACAAACTCTCACTCTCAATGTCATTTTTCACTCTCCGTTACCAAGGCATTTGTTTCTTTCTTTTCAGATTGTGAGCTGCTTTTCACCATAAGGAAAAAAAGAAAAGAGGAGTATTGTAGAAGCTTCACATCACAGCGTTTAGAAATGTCAATAAACACATATACAGGGCAGGCGGGACCGAAAAGCAGCCATCAGGTCGAGTAACACCAAAGCACGAGGTTAAGCGAGAAGGAGACTCATGGCAATGGGGTGTGCAGGGACCTCCCTGTGCGAATCTGCATTCCGGGTGAAGTGAGGTTGGTGACAGAGCCAGGCACACACACGCCGAGCACGGGCCCGCACAGGCCGGTGTCTCTGATCCACGAGCGCACAAGGATGCAGCTCCCGTGGCAGATGGCAGAGCACCAGTGTTCAGCGGTTGTCGCGCAGCAGTAATCCGTTTCAGTTCTGTAGACAAGACCTCCGTTTAAGCAGAGAGCAGCTCGGTACCGCTCTGTCCCAAGACGGCACGCTGCTCCAGAACAGCTTTTACTCGCACGCTGAAGTGACCGACCCCTCGCGTTCTTCACAGCTTTCCCACGTGGCCCTGTTTCCTGAACTCCGCTTTTTACTGAAGATGTTCTTGCACAATAAATTTTTGGCTTGGCTCCAACTGAACGCTTAATTATTTAGAAAATCAAAGTATATCCAAAAATTCCATTGATTTACAATCAAATAAGAAACATTTGCACAAATGAGATAATTATACTAACAGCCTGTAAAACGTAGACTGAATTGAGAAATCAAAACTTCTCAAATTATGTCACTAAACATATAATTTAAACATCAGCAAGATACCAAATTATTATTTCTCCCTGTAACAAGTAATCTCTTTTTTTCTCCTAGTCACAAGTGCCGTTTTGATGGTATGATGACAGAGTAACTAACTCAGCAAGCCTAAATGCAGCCTAACGAACGTTCACCAAATCAACCTGCTCAAGTTTCTCCAACCATCCTGGCAGAAAGCAGCCTTCAAGCCGAGCACCCAAGCGCGCACGCGCCCTACTGAAGTTCCACCATCGCTTGTGAGAGAGATGGCACAGCTCTGAATGCCCAGGTCTCCATGACCTCGCAGCCCTGACTTTGCGCGTTAGAACCGGCCCGAGCACAAGACCCGATACTGAAGCGCTAGACATGAGCATGAGCCTTCAACGCTTGAAACCACAGGGACAAACTTCCAAAGGCCGCCGATACAGGAAGTTTGTCTTCCTGTATCAGATCTGGCTGGGATGGCACTAACTTTCCCCCTAGCAGCCCTCACAGCGCTGTGCTTTTTGCACTGGTAGCCAGAAAGGCACTGGTAACACACCAGTGTTCTGGCTACTGCCAAGCGGGGCTCACACCCCCAACAGCTGACCCAAGGGATGGTCCATACCACGCGACATCTGCTCAGCAATAACAGCAAAGAGAACGGGGAGGGGGCATTCCTTACGACGCTTCTCTTCCAGAGCAACCGCTCTACGTACCAAAGCCCCACTTCCCAGAAGAGGCTGGAAGGAAGAGAATAAATCTTTCATTTCCCTTTGCTTCTGCACACAGCCTTTGCTTTATTAAGCTGCCTTTATCTTGACCCACGAGTTTTTTTCCCATCTTATTTTCTGCCGCCCCATCCTGCTGAGGAGGGGAGTGATAGAGCGGCTTGGGGGGCACCCGGCCAAGGCCAACCCACCACACTTCCTTAAAGAAGAGGAGGGATCTAAGCAATACACTTAAAAACTTGTGTATTCAAAATTGCAGAAAGGCACAGCTGAGTTAGTTGTTTGCTGCATCCAAAAAAATATGTTTATTTGCATAGGCAAATACTTACAGGGTATTTATTACAAGTGAAAACTGTACGCTCACAATGTGAACAACAAGTTCACTTGCCATTTAAAACTGCAGTCGTAACAACTGCAACTGACGGTTCTACTCCCCGAACGTTAAAGAACTCGGGGCTTCTTTCTGTTCTTTATGCAACTGTTTCGCCCTGTTTTTCAAATCCTCTGCCTTAGCATCGTTCTTCTCAACGCCATCTCCCAGTTTGTACATTCGACTGGCATTAGCACAAGCCCACATGTGGCCCAGCTTGCACCCCTTCAGCGAGTACTTCAAAGCACGGTTCATGTCCTTAGGGATGCCCGCTGCTCCCTGGAGGTATATGACACTCAGGTTGAAGCAGCTGGGAGCAAAATCGCCGTCGCAGGCTTTTGTGTAATAGTCTCTAGCAACGACAGGGTCAGGTTTACCATCGTTTATTCTCCCATCATGGGCCAACAGCCCAACGTTATGACACGCGTTTACTGACTTCTTCCCACCTTTCTCACATGACTTCATAAAAGAGTTGTAGGCAGCTTTCAAATCCAGGTCAAGTCCACCTGTCAGCCAAGAAAGGAAAACATTATTAGAAGGACACACAAAAACAGATGGGATCTCTCTGCTTTGCAGCGTGCTGCCCAGTGCTCTTTGGGAAATACAGCATCTCTCACTTCAGATGCGACCGACGGAATTCAGGACTTCAGAGACACCATTGTTGTCTCAGTTACAAAGGTTTTGCTCATATCTTCAAGTTAGGAAACCCTCCTCCGCTCCCCAGTAACCACAACACCTGACACAGACAACAAAAATAACCAACAAAACAACTCCACACCAAAACACTCTTTGCACTACTACATCTATGGATTTCTTAATGGCTTATACAAGGCAAAGTATTCTTTTGCCACTATACCTATGTGTACACTGAAATGATTACTAGTTTTTAACTACAGTAAAAATATTGTCTTCCTTCCTAGCATCGTCATTTGGAAAAAGATTGACTAGTTTAACTGCTTCCGATTACCATACCAGCAGATACATTTTGGGCAGACTTGGGGCCTACTTATGCAAGCAGCGTTACAGTCTGTAAGTTTACTTCTTCCTTACTTTCTCTAAAAGAGACAGGGAGATGAGAAGAAACCCAAGTTTTAAGAACAGGACGCACAACAACATTCAGCACTGGATATACTCACCGCTTATACAGCCCTAATTACAAATAGACAATATCTGTGGTTAACCTAACGCTGATTCTTCAGAAGGAAGCAATTTAAGGTCGTCCTCCCCTTCCCCAGCCTCCATCACGTGACCACAAGGCAGCACAGGTAACTCTCAAGGTCAGGAGGAAAGACAGGAGCAGAAAGGCCCTCAGCCGCCCTCCCGGCTCCGGTGCCCTCCGCAGAGCAGCTCACGCCGCTGGCAGGAGCCACCCCAGGCCGGCCTC